AGAGAGAGAGAGAGAGAGAGAGAGAGAGAGAGAGAGGGGTTGACGACACTTAGGATTCAGACTGAACATTGGACAGAGACGTTGGGGGGACTACTTGAGATTGATATCAGCGACATTTGGGTTGACGACATTCTCATCTCTTCCCCCTTCTTCTTCGTCTCTTCCCCCTCCTCCTCATCGGTGTATGAGTTAGGCCTGGCACCTTCGTCCTGGTGTGTGGCGCCAGGCCATTCACACCGTGTGATGATGATGATGTATGTCCAGTCTGCATTTCGACATTGATTGGGTCCAATCATTTGTATTCCAGTCTTCCGCTGAGCTATCTTGCTCTATCTGCGAGAGGTCAGTTGGTACAGACAGTTTGGTATCGGAGCAGACCTCTCGAAAAAGGATCTGCCCAATCAAGAAACTAATTTGATTGATTGATTGATTGATTGATTGATTGATTGATTAATGAAGTAGGGATTCGTCATATGTCTGCAAAAAAAAAAAATTCTGCTTTACTAAAGTCGTCACCTTGATTAGCGGTAATTAACACTAACCCCGGATTTGCGCTAATCACAAATTGGCACTAATCAGCGATTAGCGTTTCAACCCTTATCAAGATTAACAACTAGTTAACGGATTAAAGTTCTGCAAATTCTTTTTCTATAGTTTTCTTCTTTCTGTTGTAAATCACTAATTCCTAAAGTGACACTTTCGGTAATCCGCGAATTTCGGAAATCCGAAAATTTCAGTATTCTACGAAATCTGCGAATTCCACGCATTTCGGAATCCAGAAAATTTTGGCATTCTGCAAAATCCGCAAATTCCGTGAATCCCGGAAATTCCAAAAGTTTCGGCCCTCTGCAAAATCCACGAATTCCGCACAAATTCCGACAAGCTCGGCACCCCGCTTATTCGTCGGAAATACAAAAGTGGCAAGTTAGGGTAGGCCAGTTTTTGTTTTTTTTCCCGGTTCTGAGGGAATCACATCCAATTGGGGTTTTATTTTCACAAGGCCCTTGGTACATCCAGAACTTTACGATTTCCCTAATCGGACATACCACATTTCTCGAAATGCAAACGTTCTGTGCCTAATTTATTTAGGAAATAGAATATTTAAGATTTCTTTTTTTTATTCGTGATGTTTCATTGAATTATTCCATTTTTTTTCCAGTCGACAAATTTACGGATTCCTGTTTTCTGAAAACCGGCATGATTCCAAGAAATTCTTTTTCCAAAAATTCCAATTATCTTCACGAATTCTGTTGCGATTCTTTTCCTAATTCCTTTAACGAGTAAGATTCGTTTTTCCAGATTACCAAATGTTTGGTCCAAATCTGCATTTTACCCCTTTTTTTTTTACTGCTCGTTATCTGATATATGCCTCCCTAATTCTCAAATCAACGAACTTCAAAAAAAAAAAAAAAAGATATTTTTCTTTGTCATTCTTTTTCTGTTGATTAGTACCCGGGATTGGAAATTGCAGTCCGGTGTTTGCCTGTCTGCATGTTTCTTCCCACCCCTCTTTGTACTACGGCAGTGCCACATCAGCAAGTGCCACGTCAGCAAGTGCTGCATCAGCAAGTGCCACGTCAGCAAGTGCCGCATCAGCAAGTGCCATGTCAGCAATGCCGCATCAGCAGACACAGTACAGCTAACCCCAGCTTATGCTCCGACGCAGTAAACACATCGCAGCACGTGAAAGGCGGGCAGCCGCAGCAGAACAGCAAGACACAATGAGCAGCACGATCGCTCAATGGACGTACTTCATCGACCAATTCGACTTCACACCGAAACACATTTCGGGCCTCTTCAACCGAGCCGCGGATGCTCTCTCTCGAAGATCAAATCTTTGTGCGTTGACTTACCACGCGTTCAATTTCGACGACGCCCTTCACCAACATTTTGTGCGAGCATACCAGTCCGATCCGGAATACACCACACTCTACGAGCAACTATCCTCAGATCACCCGCTGGCCAGAAATTGGCTACTTGCTTCTTCATTCACGAGGCAAAGACTTACTATGCGTCCCACACGACCGTCGCTTACGGACTCGCCTCCTCGGCGAGTACCACGACTAGCGACTCACTGGCCACTTCAGCGTTAAGTTAACCGTACGATCGCAAGACTTTGGCAAGGATTCCGATGGCCCGACCTCATTATCGACGTCACTCGGTATTGCGACTCTTGCAAAGAATGCCGATGAAGCAAACCTGGCCTCTCCATTGCTATAGACGTCACCGGCCCGTTCCCCCGCGACCGCGTCGGGCACGACGGCATTCTCACGATTGTTGACCGTTTGAGCAAGCACGCACGATTTCTTCCTTGCAAGTACTACACCACGGCTCGCGAGCTTGCGCGACTCTTGCACACCGGCTGGATTTGCGGCCATGGCGTCCCGGAAGACATCATGAGCGACCGTGACACTCGTTTTATGTCGGCATTTTGGACTTCTCTCATGAAGGAGTCCGGCACCGAGATGAAACCAAGTTCGGCTTGACATCCACAAACGGACGGGCAAACGGAGCTTGCACATCACACCGCTCAAATGATGCTTTGCACACTCATCCATACAGATCAGAAGGATCGCTTTGACCACCTCCTCTTGTTGTTTCGGTGTGATGAAAGTGTCTACGCCCTGTTCCCGCTCCTGTCGCCCTTTCATGGTTTGGCCCACTCTCCAACATCTAATGAGGCTTTTTTTCTACCATGCTGCGTGGGCAAGGGCAGGACGGGCCAGATGGAGGAGAGGAGGAAACTTGGAGTGGGGCAGCTGCTGAGTGCAAATGAGTGACTGGCTTGTGATGCACTGCATCTGTCAATTGCAGTTGAATATTCATTAGCCTGTCAGCGAGTCTTTTCATGTTTGTCAATCATAATTGAACTGACCGGCCCTACCTTCTTCCGGTCATTCTACCGTATGTTGTATTCGGGGGAAGAAAGTAGGTAATTCAGAAGTACGTTGTTTTGTTAATCTGACTGCATCTGGATTCGAACTTGAGTTCGTATTTCATCAGTTCTTGGGTGTACCAACTGAGCCCGTTGGTATGTCTAGTTTTCGCTTCGTCAGAAGACTCAGAAGCCTGTCCTGTTCCTGATAGATGGTAGTAATTGTTAGTGCTCCTTGCCTCTGATCTCCGAGGAGAAGTGTTCCTTGCCTCTGATCTCCGAGGAGATCCATGTTCATGCAGGCAACTTTGTAGTTGTGAAGGGGTTAGTTTAGAATACAATCATGGTGGAGGGAATTTCTGATGACATCAAAAAACAAGGATATGTTTAACAAAGTCACCCATTTGTGTGGAGGGCAACGATGCAAAACAAGTATGACAAAGATCATTTGGGCTTCCACGGTGTAGATTTACAAACGATACTGGTTTCATGAGTGTTAAATTGTTAATCCAAAAGGGGAGCAGTGCATCATAGTAGGGGGGGGAGGAGGGAGAACTACTATCAGCCCAGGACCGAAGCGCTATGGCCTTTACTGCATAAGAGCTTCTTCTTTTTTTTTTTTTTTACTTTACAGGGGGTTCTGGTTAGCGAGGCAATAAGAGCAGGCCCACTAATCAGAACCCTGTTTCTGAAGACTCCACTTGTTGGTGCGGAGCAGCACCTGCTTGACATCGGGTCCAGAGTCCCTGTATAACATCAACATCCGTTCGGCCAACACATTTGTACCCAGCTTTAACTGCTGCTGCGATCATTGTGACCTTGTTCCAAGTGACTTGGCAAACCACTCTGCATCCTTTTGATCTGCCATGTGTCTCCTCACCCAGCCGAGCTAGTCCTGCTTAGCCTTGCCTTCATCTAATGATTGCACCCGACCTAGCTTCAGGCAAACTGATGTTTTGAGGTAACAAAAAATCTTCAGAGAAAAGCATTGTGCCTGCTGTGTCCATTTGGGGAGGGGGGCAACCATAGCCTACCAGTAGAAGATAGTGATCTATAACTTAATCGCTTGGCCAAGATACCCGCTCAATTGCATGTATGCTTGGCCGAATGCTGTACAAGGTAGAGGTGAGTCAATGGTTGGGGGGCGAGGGGGGAACATGGGATTAGGATGGAGGATCTTTAGTTTTCTTTTTTGTCTTTTTTTAACACAGGATTGGGATGGAGGATCCTCCCTCCCTCCCTCCCTCACAAAGAGACAACTACGCTTCTAAACTCGCTGATCTTCTCTTTTTTGTTTTGGTTTTTATGTACATGGGTCGTACAAATCACTACGGTCCTAAACTTGCTGATCTTCTCTTTTTTTATGTTCGTTTTTTATATACATGGGTCATGCAAATCAGGTCCACAAACTGCCATCTCCACCCGAATGTAACGCCAGGCCATTATATCTGTATTTGGGGGTACTTTCAGTCCATATGTAGTGATAATCATCAGGGGTTCTATTCGGGTGAAAATTGTATGTAGGTCTGCAGAGCCATGCAAATAATACTATTAAATACTAGTATGAATAATTTGAGGAGGGTCGGTCAATTTGGGGAAACCAGCAAACAAAAGTACGAGAGTGACAGTGGTATCCCTGCAGACCATCCTTGCACACCATCCCTGAGAGAAGGGGGGAGAAGGGGGGCCCAGGGGAGGAAGGGAGAAAGAGAGAAAACGCTAAAGAAGTGGGAGAGCAAAGAATTTCAAACCTTTACAATGGGGTTTGTATCTAGCTGTCACATTTCGTGCATAAGAGAACTTGTTTGTGGTTTTTTACCCTTACCTTGGTGTGAAAAGGATGAGTTTTCGAGTGTGGATGTGGGGTGCCGTGGAGGAGGGAGGTGTTCTTTAGAGATTGCCTTCTCTCAAGTGCGGATGAAGTCAGATAAGCTAACGATGACAGCAAGTACACAAAAAGCTTCATGCACTTTTTTCAGTCAGACAGTTAGAAAGACACGGACCGAAAAATCAACTGCAAGGAAGGAGTCGGTTACAGTGTGACCCCTTCAGACAATGGTGATGACTCTCGAAAAGAAAGAATGGGTCTTTAGCCCTTCACCTGCACTCTGGATGTAAAAACAGACTCTTGTATGGTAAAAGCCCCTGAAGGGGCTTGTGTCTAAACAGCTCTATGAATGTTAACGAAACTCTACCCGTGGTTCAGCAAAACTGCAGCTTTGTCGATGTCCCAAGCAAGGGTAGCGCAAGTCTGTCCATCTTTGTCGGCCACACCCAAAAAACACACACTGCCCTTCTGTGTTTACCTTCCACCACGATCCCTCTTCACCTTTCCCCAAATGCACACGTATATATGCGACTGACGACCTGGGAAACGCGGTTAAGACAGGAAAGTCGCGTACAGTGACCACACTGTTTGACAACGAGCTGGACGAAGTCCAACGAACTGATGATTCCGCATTTAATAAGAAGATAGCAAAATTTTAAAAAAATAACATCAAGCTCGGAATCATTTCGTGTTTTTTTTTTTAATTATTATTATTATTATTTTAAATTGCTATGCTCCTATACGTTTTGAACGGTCCTGCATCGGTCTCATCAGGGGGCTAATCCACACACCTGCCTTGAGGCTCGCATCATACGTCCTCCACGTAGCAGCATCCGCAACACGAGTTGAGATCTTTTATTCCTTTCGCAACAATCACTTCCCAAGGAAGACGAGAAGAATTGTTGTGAATCCCTATCATGCCGCCAAGTAGGACGAAACTTTTCAACTCTTCGATGCACCTTCTAGCGTGCATTTTTTTTTTCCCGCATGAAAAAAGAAGAAACTCGCTGAGCCCGGATTCACTTCGCAATGACAAGCCATCTCTATCGCAGTCGAGACCCTCACGATAGCCGTCCGTCGAAGCCAACACAGGAACAGGCTGCCGACACAATTCCATCTGCAAGAGAGCCAAGCGGTCTTGGCGCGCAAAATGAACTGCATCAGTATGTGCACGCTCACTCAAGGTACAGACTTAGGGAAAGAAAAAAAAAAGAAAAAAAAAGCGCAATCGGCAATCGGCGAGCAAAGGAAGGTAGTCCAAAAAAGATAACTTGGTTCTTCCCTTCTGAAGCGGCACTCTGCTCGTTTCTACACCCTCACTCCATCTTGACTTTGACTTGCTTCGGCCACGATTCACTCGGTCTTCACTCTCTTCCGCTGCCATTTCAAGTAGATCTGGTAGCTCAGTCCCGAGAACACCATGGACACGCCCATCCACTGGGGATTCGCGAGGGGATTGCCATTCCAAAGGGCAGAGATCAGGATGCTCACAAACTTGCGCGTCGTCGTGATTGTCGTGTTGACAAGCGCACCGAATTTACTGATCGTGTAGAATATGAAATTCTGTCCCAATGCACCGCATAGGCAAAACCAGAGGATGTCCCTCCCGGCCTCGGGATGAGTCCTGCAAAACTCCAGCGCCTCGTAGCCACCGCCACCAGGAACCAGAAACATGTAGATCGCCAAATAGAGGGAACCCCAAAGGTTCATTCCTACCATCAGGTGGTATGCATTCATCTTCGGGTACCTGCAACACATGAAACCACAAATCATGACTTCATTCAAAAATCAATCACCGCATTACCGCCATGCACATTGAATTTCAACACATAAGGTCACACCAATCCATCCTACGAGTGCACTGACCAGCCAGGGGATGCTCACCTGGCGATGGTGTTTGCATGGAAGCTGCCATGCCTGCGGAGCATCTCATGCATGTGAAGTGTTTGTGGAGTAAGTCGTCGCTGCAACCGTGCGGGGGTCGGTTAAACGTCATGACCCGTATGGCTTCAGTTTTCAACACCAGGTCACGGTTACAGTGGTAAAGGCATCCGCCTGTTATGGGCGAGGTCACCAATTCGATTCCGTCCGGCTACGGATAGATCTGGGCTACAGACTCTGAGCTGAACACCCTATCTGTACACTGGCTTTTTAGAGGGCGAACTGGTCCATATCCGGTGTGTGCGCGAGAGCGTTGAGAGGACCCTTCCCTAGTACGAGAGGACCGGGAAGGGCGTACCGCTGATGTACCAGTTATCATGCCAACGGTGAACGCTGGGTAGTCAAGTGCGGAGTGGATAACGGCTGCAAGCATCTAAGTTGGAAGTCCACCACGTTCGTCACTTGTCCTTCTACCTCCAATTGACCGTGGGCCGTGGCCGCCCAGCATCTTCAAGCTCCATCATGACTGACTTCAAAATCAATCACTGCATTGCCGCAAAGCAGACCAATCCATCGTATCCGGACAATGGATTCTTAGAGGACGAACTCAATCTGTCACTCATTTCTTCTATCTCCGCCGGCCCGTGACAGCCTGACATCTTCCCACAGTACAACCATGCTGTGCAACTCCACGTCTACCTTCCTTCATCGAACTCCTTTCAGTTATCTATGAATGGCACACATTTCTACTCTGTGCACATGACAGATCAAGAGTCCAAGTTCAAAACTGCGACCGTGATTGGTAGTACGGTAATCCCAAGGACAGGCATCAGCATAATGACTCCCTCGAATAAATTGATGTTTGGCACAAAAAGACAGATTTGTGATGAGCTACCTGGTTTACTACAGACTTCTTCCGAAGAGGAAGTACGGTCATTATTGCTGTATCTAGACCGAGAATTGCACCAAGTACAAGTATAATGTTGCATACTAGTGAAAGTGAACACAAGTATGATGCAGAACCCAGAACCAACCAATAACAAAGAGCAATACAATGCAGCGGAAGACTGATAAACATGCATCTGAACTCACATCTGACTCGGACTATACGCAGGCTCACACACATACATTCATCGGGTGAGAAGGCCTGGCGCTCCAGACATGGAAGATGGCGCCAGAGCCTGTACACAACACGCACGGACGAATGTAGGGGGGAAGGGACGAAGGGAGGAGGAGATGGCGCCAACACAAAGTCACCAAAATAGTAATCCGGAAATGTCGAAGATACAGAATCTTGAAATGCCACTCGTGTCAGATCTCCAAATAGTCCCTCCAACGTCCTACTCTGGAATAGTCTCAGTCCTGATGTCACCGATATCCCACCGTTGATCTCTGTCCAATAGTAACCAAGAAGGTAGAAGGTTAGGAGAAGATGAAGATGGAGGAGGAGAAGAAGAAGAAGAGGAAGAAGAAGAACTGAGAGGGTCCGAGGAGAAGGTGGAGATGGAGAGGGCGGAGGAGGAGAGTCCTCCCTCCCTGATCCAGTGTCCAGGCACCAACCTGCAGACGCAAGGTGCCACCTTGGAGCTGCTGAAGACCTGCCTTCGACGCTGGAGCTACGCTCACAGGTAAGTACCAGGTAAGTCTCTACTCCCTCTCTCTCTCTCGCCTCTGCAGCTAGCGCTACACCTAGCGCTACTGCCTGGAGCTGAGCTAATACCAAAATAGCGCAGCGCTGCTCCTCAGTGCCGCGGCCTCAACTCTCTCTCAAACAGACCGCTGGCCGGTACTAAGTACCGGCGGTGGCCTGTTCGTCCTGGCTGCTGGTGAAGCCGCGCCGTGATCTGGACCGTTCCAGTCGATCTGCGGTCCAGATCAGACCTGCAGGGAAGTGGCAGCCTCAATCCTCGGCCGCCAGGCTCAAACGAAAAACGTTTGGGCCAGTTTCGCGCTTAGGACCTGCTGCTGCAGACCCAGGTCTGAAACGGCTTGCTGGAGGCCTACCATCAGCCTTTCCAAAGCTCCGGCCTTTAACCCAGGCCGGACTGGCCCAGCGTGGCCACGGTCTGGGATAACCCACTAGACCTAGCCGTTGGGCCTAACAGGGCCCGTGTGGAAGCCAGTATGTAACAATACCGTCTGTGGGTTCTATTCGGGGGAAGACAGTAGGGCCTCACCGATTCACAAGCATGCATATGCCCTCACAATCAGTGCAGGAATTCCAGTTTCTATTTACCTTTATTTCATTCTCCTCTGTTCCATTCACTTTTTTTCTGTTCTTTCGTTTCCCTTTCCCTTGAAGTTCCTTCGGTGTAAGTTGTTTCTCCTGCAATCAGCAACTAGGGCCATGAAGAGAACAACAATGTTGTAAGGAGCACAGTACTTTCACAGGACACGCGCTTTTGTCCATGCACACAAGAGTAGCGTGTACGGAGTTGTGATGATTCCATATGAGAAAGTGTGGGGAAGAGAGTGGGCAAGAGGAAGGGGAAACTTCTTCTGCAGGATGGGCACGGCGGTGATGGCGGCTTTGTCTGTCGTCGTGTTGAAGGTGTCTTGGCTGAGAGCGTCCTTCGATAGTAGTCGAGCGAGACTCTACGTCGTGCCGTCGTGTCGCAGACGTCTCCGCGTCCGTAGATCACCACTGGAAACTTGAAAGCTAGGCCGAAGGATAATTTGATTATTAACACAAATATTTTTATGAAAGGGGAGACAAGAGTAACGAGGAAAGAGAGGGAAGCCAGTGAGAAGGGGAGAGGGGGCAGAGCAACAAGGAAGAGACAAAAAAG